GTGCTTTGTCTCTAACTCCCTTCCGTCAGTTTGTGTTCCTGGAACTGGCTCTCCAGTGGATGGTGAAGCCTGCAGCCTGGCTGCTCTGTGTGTGTCCCCACCCATCTCCTGGGAGTTCTGCTACAACTGTGTTTTCCTCTGCCTCACTCATCCCTTTGGTTTATGGTCTGTTTTCTTAAATTCTTATGGTAGTGTTGGAGCGACACCTCTACTCCATTTAGCTACTTTTTATATTGAAGTTGGAGACTGTGGTGCTAGCATAAAATCTTGTGTGTATTGTTCCATAATGATGGACTGTGGTGAAAATTGGTACTCTTTTTGTGAAGAGCACTTGGCCAGCATCTGTCAGTGTTCATCCTATCAGCCTTGTGATGGATTTATACTGGTAGAGAATAGTGCTTTGGGGATATTTCACATGGAATATATATGCTTGTAGTTGTGTACTATAGTGCTGTATGAAGTAAAGAAAGACGGGGAACAACGTGAATGTACGTCAGTGAGGGGTGGCAAAAGTGGGGTGTCTACAGTTAATGCTGTGGTGTGTAGTCACACCTATAGAATGAGATATGGGGTACTGTGAAGGAACTGAAAGCCAGGTCACTGACAGGAAGCATTTTCCAGCCGAGTATAAAGGGAATATGATGTCAATGTTTACTTGTAATTTGTACCCATAGAAAAAAATAAGGATAGGTGGATTATTTAAAAACAAAATAGCATCGTATTCTTTGTGGAGGAATGGGAGCTATGAAGGACTCCATCTTCGTTTTTATTATTCATCTCTGCATCTTTTGAACTTTTATTATGGTAATCACTGGTGCTCTCTTCTTTACTTTTCTTTCTCTTCTCTCTTTCTTTCCCAGGACTACAAACAAGTGGCTAATGTGCTAGATCTTGGTGTAGTTTTTTTTTTCATTTACTTAAAAAAATAACTTTTTATTTATTCTTTGTGAGTTTTACATCATACACCCAAGTCCCAATCATTTCCCCATTCCCTCATATTTGTCCTTGCAACCTTCCCACCAAAATAACACACACATACACAGCATAGAAAACATCTCATCATGGGAGCTGTAGTGTGTCACAGTGTATCCCTCGGTCCACACATCTTCACTCACAAATGTTTATTACAGTGAGTCATTGGTCTGGTTTGAGATCTTTGGCTTCTGTGACACCATCAATATTGGATCTTCACCAGGTCTTCTCCCTGTTATCCTGTTGTGTCATGGAGATCCTGTGGCTTTGAGTTAGCAGGACTGGCTTCACACATCTCAGTTGCTCACAGATGATATAGATTTTGTGGTGGGCCAATTCAGAGCCCTGGATCTGGGCCTGTGTGGCAGCTGAGCTGGTCATCGTGTGGCCTTTCCCTTATCCTCATGACAGGGTGAGCTTTCCAGCTCACCTGCGCCTGCCAGGCCACCCAATGCCACCATTAGCAGAAGGCACTGTCAGCTTTTCTGCTCCCATGCCCTCGGGCAGACTCACCAGCACCTATTCCTCCAGAGCCAGCTCTACTGTGCTGCCCAGTCAAGGTGCAGGGCCCACTCTTCCAAGTGCTGCAGCCTGTGAGGGGCCGGCCTGTCTCTCCTTGGTTCTCACACCCTTGGTGCCAGCTCACCCGGGCCTTTCCCTCAACACCTTTCCTGTGTCGCCCAGGCGAAGTGCAGGGCACGCTCTCCTGAGTGCTGTAACCACTGAAAGGTCGGGGCCAGTTCTTCTGATCGTGTATTCTCAGGGCCAGTACTCTTGACTGCGGAAGGTGGCAAGGGGGAAAAGAAGAGGGTATCACCCCGTATCCATGCCACCTCACCCCAGATGAGTGGCAGGGCCACCTCTCCCGAGCTCTCACTCTTAAGGTAAATTGGGACCCAACTGAGTTTCAGCTGAACTTGCTTCATGATGTAGTGTGACCCAGCAAATGGACTGTTCCATCTCAGGCATTCAGTCAGTGTGGACTGTGTTTATCGGATACCTCAAGGAAAGTTCCTGAGCATGTGCGTGTGGCAGGCCCTGTATGCGCCTTTCTCATGGTGTCAGTTTTCCTGTTTCTTTTGATCCATAATCTGAAGGTGCTTCAGGGTAGAACATATTCTTGTTAAGATGGGAGACGTGGGCACATTTAGAGATGGTGAACCACATTCTGGTGCTTGCTTCTTGTGCCCTGTGTAGCTGTCACGCTACAGTGTTGTTTTGAAGAGCCCCGACTCTTTATATGGTTGGCAGATAAATTTAATGAGTGTTCATATGTTTATACTGGCTGAAATTTATTAATAATCAAAAATGACAATGATTTTTTTTCAAATATAAATCTGTGCTTTTAAAAAATATAAAATAACAATGCTAAATGTATTTTTCTGATATTGACATTATCTTTTATTGCTTATTACATTATGATTAGTTACATGAGGTAAAGGGCAAGTACTTGCTAAAGAGTACTAAGTTTTGAAGCTCAGGTAAGGTAAGGGACATGTGGAGCCTGCTATGTAGCCCTGCCTGTTTCTAAACTCAATCTTCCTGCCTCAGCTTCCAGAATGCCAGGATCACACCCAGCTTCTCTCTTTATTATTGACCACATGGCCCCTCTGCATATGATTTTTTCATTTGACTTTTATACTGATCTGTGAGTTTCATACCATATACCTCAATCCCACTCATCTCCCTGTCTTTTTGTTGCTACCCTCGGCCCTTGCAGCCTCCCCACCAAGAGAGAAAAAGCTTGTTGAGGGAGCTGTGGAGTGTCATAGTGTGCCCCATATTCCCCTTTGTCCACACGAGCTTAGGAGATGGCTGGTGTAGGCTAGAACTCCTGCCCACTCCTGAGCTCCCTCAATTCAGTCAGCTCTCTCACACACACTCAGATACTACCTGAGGCAGAGGCTGTCTCCAGCCATTCTCTTGAAACTGCATTTTGGTTTTATTTTCAACTGTATTTAATAATTGAACATTTGTGGTTAGCAATAGTACTTAAAATGTTGGTGGACTCTAATGATTTTGGACATTTAAAGCCTTGAGTGAATTGCAAAGCCACCACGTTTTCTGATCCCCTGCAGCTGTGGGCTTCCTTACTACTTGTTTTAGGGACTCTGTCTGGGTTGCAGTATGTGCCCACTCTGCTTATATCTTTCTCATGCCCTCTAAGAGCAGGTCATTCTGCTGCGGAGAGAAGCCGTCAGCATCAAAGCTAACAAGCCCAGGACCTGGCAGCCATGCTGGTTCTGACTAAAGAAGAAGGGTAGGCCCCCAGGCACCCTTCCCATGTGCTGTTTAGACACGGGGTTTGCTCATTTCCTTGCCTGTTGTGGGGCTACTCTGCATCTCTGGGCTATCTCCGTAGCAGGGTGAAGGCCCCTTAATATGGCCTTGTGCCCCAACCTTGATTTGAAATCCTGGTTGCTAATCTCAGGGGACTGGGGCACCCAGCCGGGCGTCTCTGTGACTAGTAGAATCCTCCATTTGTGTGGGATGCTTGGATTTTGGAATGGGAGATAGGGTAGTATAATCCTCCAGCTCCTGCTCAGCCCCACAGCCAGAGGGCCACCATTGCAGGTGGCCAGATTGCAGAGTTGTGGCTTTCATGGTGGTTGGGTAGCAAGTGCCACACTCACTTTGGTACCACATTGCTTCCAAGTAAACCTCAGTCTGGAAGGGCTTAGAGCCTCAGCACCTGGTTTGGTGTGGCGTCTTATTTTTGTTGGAGATTTCTGTAAGAGAGACTGTGGAATGCTGTTCATAAGCAGGGACCTTTATTTTAGAACCAGTTTAAAGACAGCTTACACTGACCCTTGGCTGGTGCTGGCTGGTGAAATCCAGTTTGTACACCTCATGGGCTTTCCAGTACCAGCTCTTGGCTTAAGAAGCAAGGAATTTGCAGTGTATTCTGTGTGAGAATACGGTGGGGCAGTAGATGCTTCTTAGAGAGTTTTACTAAGGAATAATAATTTTCCATGTAATATTTAATAAAATAGAATTTATATATGGTTCTTTCATGCCTATGAGAACTGACAGCGAGGGGAGAAAATTTTGTTTGAAGGAAGTGTTTCCCATTCTTTTTATTTTCTCTCTCCCATTAGAAACTGGTTCTTCAACTTTCAGAGCCAAGTGAGAAGCTATGCAATAGGCCCTTAGCCTCTCTTTGGCTCCAGTGAGCATGTGTTAAGTAGCCAGGACCTGCTCTGCAGGGTCTGTGGGGTAGGATGAGGTGGGGTAGGGTAGGGGGAGGTGGGGCAGCATTTGAAATGTGCAGTTTCAGCAGGGCACCAACCCACACACCTTGGAAAGCAGGGAGATGCTGAGTTCTCAGCTCTCGGCAGGTGTTTGCTTGTGTACTGTTCCCCGCTGGTTGTTGTTCTTTCATGTGGTTTTCTAAGGACGATGCCACACCAGCTTGTGGACCTTCCACACCTGGGTATTTGGTTTTCTAGAAGCTCATACCATCCTGTGGATATTTAGGAGGGCATTTTAAGATTTAGTTGCTAACATTTTCATTAATTATTTTAAAAATGAAATAATAATTTGACCAAAATTATAGTTCAGCTGTACAAATGTGGTGGCTCACCCCTGTAATCCTAGTACTGGGGAGGCTGAGATAGAAGGATCATCACAAATTTATGGCCAGCCTGGGCTATTAATGAGGCAGTCCCCACACCCTCTACCCCTTGGATTAATTAAGCAATACATCCCAGTTTAGGATTGGTAATACAATGAGCTTTGGTTGTGGTCTGCCCTGCGTGGTGACAGCTCAGGTCTAGCCCACAGAAGTCCGCTCCATTTGCGCAGTCTCATATTGCTGGTGCCTGCTCTTTATATTTATTTCTGGCAGTGACTCACTGCTGTCTTTTTCTTCTCATAAAGTATTAAATGATAGCTGCTACATGTTTAAATGTTGGCTACAATGTACCATCACGTGATATTTAATCATAACCAACTTTTGTTTTACTTTGTTTACTGCATGAAGCTTAACACTCGGAGATACTGATGAAGGACTGTGTTTGTTTGTTTAGGACATGTCTCAGGAAGGCTATGGAACTAGATCTCAGCCTCCTCTGGCCCCTGGAAAGTCCAACCATGAAGACTTGAACTTAATACAACAGGAGAGACCATCGAGTTTACCAGTAAGACATTACTGTGCTGATTGGAAAACATAATGAGTGAAAGAGTTTGGAAGAGGATTGTTTTGTCTGTTCTATTTTATATTGCACACAGGAGAGAAATTTCTAGGTTGCAGATCTATTTAAAAATTATTAACTTTTAAGCATTTAAAATTTATTAACTTTCTTGAGAGCCCTATGGTTCTGCTTAAGTCGGTTATGTTTGTAGTATCTTGGGCAGAGGGATCAGACACCACTGTTGGAAAGTCCTACCTGACTGGCTGGGCTGGCTTTGGGAGCACAAAGAAACTTCTGTTGTGTCATTGATCTTTGTTGAATTTTGGTAGTGATACAGAGCAAAAATGTCAGTGCAGGAGTTGAAACATGAAGAAATGACCGCTTTGCGAAGGGTACAGTGGTAAGATGTCGGTAATTTGAATCATTTCTGGACTTTATATAGAGTTTACCCCAAAGAAAGTAATTTAGTTAAAACTTGACAAAGCAGCTTTGTGCGGTGTGTGCAGCTTGCACTAGCAGCTTGTGTGGTGATGGCGTTGTACAGGGTGCCAGCGGCTGCAGCAGTGCAGGCATGCGTCATGGTGGTGCATCTGCACTCGATTTACCCTCGAGTAGAGTTCCTAGTTGAAAGAGGATTTCTGGATTAACTAAAAGAGTAAACCTGTACACAGTCTTTACATTTATCTTTTTGTTAACGTATTTTGACCTCAAGCATTATTGTTGCTGTTACATTTCTGTTACAGTTTGTTTAAAACCAGAGTCTGGGAGAGCTGTGATCTTAACTTGTAACTTTGTTAGCACTAAGTAAAATTCCTTATGTTCCTTGTAAATATCGGTAATGGATGTGGTACACGCAGGCTGTGTACGTGCCATTCCCACTCCAGTTGGCTGTGTTTCCTGGTAGAAGAAGGCATGTGACGGCTGAAGGATACACACTGGCACTGAGTCTGCTGGCCATAGCTATGGGACCCTAATTTTACCGGCTTTGCCTCTGTGAGGGGAGGGTATGAGTCTTAGAGAAAAGTCTCTTGTTGCTGAGCTGCGCTGCTCCGTGCATCAACTAGTTCTTGTTTTCTGAAGGAATGAGAAGGCTGTGGATTCCGTGTTTTGTGAGAGGCTTTTAAAACCGGACAGTTAGTGAGGCGAGTGTGTGGAATGTGGATGGCATGGCATACGCCTGTTGCAGACACAGCTTTGGCCACGTGTTTGGAAGTGATGTTGAGTCCCTGGGGGCAGGCGTCCGGTGGGTTCCACTCTCTTGGTTTGGAGCCGACTGTCATTGGCTGCTGGGAAACAAGTTGGAGAATGTCTCATAAACAGGTGTCAACTTTCTGTGTGGCCAAATGAGCAGTGTGCAGTGTGCATTGCTCTCCCTGTAGCTCTGCCTGCACACCGCACCGCCACACACACCCCATGCTGTGTTCACAGGGGTGGTGTCAACCCTAACTCTGTGGCACAATTGGGCATTTTTCTCAGGTTCGTTATATGTATATCTATATGTCTATCTGTGTAGACGTAAAGACATAGAGTGTTGGCATATTACCCACTTATGACGACCTTGCATACTTCCAGAGAATATTTTTGGCTACTTACCCATCTAGTTCTTTTTATGGGGCTGTTAAAAAAAAGAAATATACTCACTGGCATTTTCTTCATGTTTTTGTTGCACTTTTGTTCTGACTGCACAGAGATAGATAGACTTGTATGTAAATCACATTTCTTCAATCTTTTCTCATTTTTGTTTGTGTTTGAGAGAGCAAAGCTTCTGGGTTGTATGGCAAGTCTGTATGCGTATGGCTTGTGCAAGGCTGGTAGAAACTGGCTTTCTTTAAGTGAACTGCAGTGCACTATTTTTCTTCTGCAGGGCTTCATGTGCATAAACAATCTCTATACGGAGTTTACAAGTATGTTTTTGTTTATATTGCTGCTTTGTGAGTTGCACATAATTAAGGTAATTATGGCTTCAGGGAACACTTGGTATTCTGTTACAGCTTCGATGCATGAGTTTGTGCAGTGTGACTTCATGAAATGCTGTAGCTGCTGGCTTGGCCAGGCTGGTAGTCAGGGGTTGGGGAGCCGCTGTTAGTCGTGCCTGAGTTTGTTATTGGTCCCCTTGTAGGTTGTCTCTTAGATTTTGCACCTTCCTAACCTCAATGTCATCAGGTTTCTTTCTTTTTAAAGGTACCTTAAGACACTGTAATCCATTGTTTGGGAACTTTATGTCTTAAGTGAGTTTTTAAAGTATGATTCTAATGTGTGATTTGTAAGTCTTCCTGTCATATATATATATATATATATATATATATATATATATATATATATATAACACATATATGTGTATATATACTTATATGCAGAAGCATATATGTATG